ACAGTAAACACAGTGTGACAGCGGATGTTGTAAGATGGTAGGCTGTCTGTTTCACACAATCTGAACCGCATTATCTTCTCTTCTGATTAGCTCTTTCTGCAGTGCTAAACCCTGATTGAAGCAAGTCTAGATTGCCTCGGGTTCTGACTCTCACCTTGGAAATTGGGGAATTGGAATTTAACATATGTTATATTTGGGATTACACTTTCTTAGTAAAGTACAGATTCTAGTACTTTTTGGGGTTGAGTCCCATCTGGGATTCGAACCCACACCCTCAGAGTCAGACACCTAATCGCCAGCACACAAAGTCAGACGCCTATACCGCTCAGCCACCGCGGACCACTACCAGTTTTCCGACTTCCATTTGTGTGGAAGCCGCGGTGGCTGAGCGGGCTAGGCGGCTGACTTTGTGTGCTGGCGATTAGGTGTCTGACTCTGAGGGTGTGGGTTCGAATGGGACTCAACTCCAAAAAGTACTAGAATCTGTAGAATAACATATGTTACATTTGACCACTTTCTAAAATGGTGTTGTGTATTTCACAAATGGAATTGTTGGTTTCTATCAAACTAATATATTCAGAGACTAAGCGTTAGTCTAGATGGTAGGGGGCAGCGCAGGTTAAAACGCCTGGTTCGCTTCATTCAGGCGAGTCGACTTGGTGATGTAAGCGCAGAGATGTGGTCAATTGTACATTTGAATCTTCACGTGTCGTGTTCGATTCCATCGATTCCAAATTAGCATTAGGGCAGACAAATCTTCAGGATAAATAGTCCTGCATAGAAAAATAGTATGTTTTTTTCGAATTCGATTCATATATCAGATTATTGAGAATGAGAGATTCCAAATGACATGGCGATTGCGTTTTGTTCAGTTTTACTGTATGGCTAACTTCCGTTTGCTATGTTCTACTTTGGAAAACAATTATTATTTTGGTTTGATGTCTCAATGTGTATACCTGTTAAGTTTTATGTTTTATGTAACACATTTAATAACGCTTCATGAGTTAGAATTGCTGTTGAAGGTTTAGACAGAAAGACACATACATATTGTATTCGGAAGGAATTCAAATAATAGAAAACAATAATTGTATTTTGTCAATCATTAAAATATTCCTAAATACCTTCGCTGGGTTTTACATTTTTACAATGTTATTCCATAAAATCAACATAGTTTCGGGTCTTTAATACAAAAGCTGAACATATGGAAACTTCGTTTCAGCTTCTCGATTCGGGATTGTGCGGTACTTTCCGGACATCTTTGTCATGTACAATAATGTTTGCTTGACAACTGGAACTCTGTAGTCGTGCTCTCTCGAATACGATGTAAGAAAGGAATGAACAGGGATTAACATATTTTAGCCAAGGTAACGTCTACAGAAAGGACAAAGAGCCAAACATTCAATTATATTATTTTTAAAACAAAGATCATCTCGTTTCTGATAACAGAACTAAAGGCTTGGGGATTTTCTCCCTTTTAGTTCGCTTGATAGCTCATTTAAGTTCCCTGCACGATCTGAAAATCTAAAATTCAAATCGGCATGGTAGTGCATGTGAAATCCAGAATAGGGAAAATCTAATCCTTGCAGGCAATATTTGAGATGAAATGTAATCCGTATATTCCTGAACGTTTGTTGCAGAGGTGAGTCATAACTAACGGCAATCTGCGGGCGTGGTCTCAGGTGACATTTATTTCATAGTAATCAATCACACTATAATAAAGTATACCAAAATATAATATGCATAATCTATACTTGCAACACGTACAATTACACATTACTAGTTTATTATGAATTACTTATAATTACTAAAACATAAAACACTACATAGCTGTTACAAATTATCGGTAAGACTTCCGCCCGTGTCCCCCCAAAATATTAACGATGAGGAAAAAGTATACATATCCAGGCATTATGATTTACGTTTAAGGGAGGGAAAGGGGAGGGGAATGGGAGGGGCGGAAGTCTTTCCCTAGATAGTTGGAGACAGAAATGAAATAACCTGTCCACCTTTTCACATATAACTACGGCAACGGCTAATAAACATAAAACTACTTAAAATGAAAAAACTAAAACTCTGTTCCAGAAACCTGTAAACACAATATCCTGTTACACGTTTAGTCGCAAACAGCTGGTAAAACCCTTGTTGTGGTGCTCATTTTCCGACGGAAAGAGGACTGAATGAATTGTGTCAAATGTGGGACGCTGGGAAGTGTTTGCGAACGATTTGGCAAGAGTGCTGATCGAGTTGTCTCCCTTGACATTGGCAAGATGTAGGTTTTAGTTTGTAAAATCTGTTATCGACCATTTGCACCGTTGATCAGTCACGAGGTGGTGAATATCAGGCCTGATACAAGAATGTACGCTCCTTACATTGGTTAAACAGTAACTAATTTTAATAAGTGGCCAAATTCTTAAGAGACACTTGTGCGTGATACCCAGCATTGAATTGCCGACGACGAATTGTCCGAGTTTAGCACATACAGTTAGATGATTTATGGTTTATCTTCGTAACTCAAACCAGACGAAACCAAAACGATTTGCCAACAATACTTTCTCCTCCCATGCTACGCAGTTTAAATGACCTCTATCTACACTATGTCCCATTGCCACTCCTCTCTTCCAAATACCACTAATACTTACAATAAATCAACACACAGCACACGGTCGAAATAATTTGTCAGAACACAATCGATTAAGCACAACATACACGAACCGTTGTCTGAGACAATGAAACAATCCGTGATACCTTGGAACGGTGAAAATATGAAGAATTCCTCACGTTATACAGTATCGACTAGTCTATAATGACACTTTAAACCAAAAGTCAGGGTGGTCCTTATTGGTAATCATGTTGTTGCAACGTGCACAATCCTGTAAATCTACAGGTTGATGTTGGACACCATCACAGACAGGCGTTGTCAACTAGGGTCACGAAACGTTGTTACTAGCGTGGATATTGTTTACAAACTGCTGTGTTTGATATCCAGCATTAACCCCAAAGTGGGTAAGGTACAGCCAGAGGCATTCATTTGAAGTTGTAACTGTCACCGGCGATTATCCCTTACCTACTGATGCAGAAATACATAGTTATTCAATAGAACTACTGTTAATCATTTATTCAGATATGTATTGGCTTCGGTGAAGCCGGTGTGATGGCGTCATGCTATGCAACTAAGCCAAGAACTCGCTGGCCATTCGGAACCTCGAACTAAGCTATTGATGGCCATTGTGTAATTGTAGCTAAATCATATACACAGTATGTGTATATGACACAATAGATTTGTCTCCCAGCTCACATTGACAAATGGCATCGTGGTCTGTCACATCGTGTGGTTCATTTTGTTACGTACTATTTATAGAACGGAGCAGTGGTTATTACCAGTTACAACCCGTTGAACAGCATAATATAAAACTACTGATCCGCCTTGATTTGAGGTGTCAAATACTATTAATAAAGATAGGTACTTATCTCTAGCTATAGTGGCCGCATGTCTCGTATATTCATGTTCCCTTGTATGTCAGGGTGCCCATGACATGCTGATCATTTAGGTTAGACGAATGAATGCTTTCATGTAATAATAGTTTCACTTGAGTAAATAGTCTAAGTCTGTGTTTATGTTGTAGGCCTGCCGTGCGACCGCCGACTGTGCAAGCTCAACGCAACTGCAGACGAAGTAATGGCCAGACAACGCATCCTAGCCAGAAAGCTTGTTGAACTTGCGGATGACCTTGACAAACAGCAGAGGAAACTCCGCAAGGCGAAGGTTGGTCTCTCCGCATCCAGTGCCGTGGGTGCAGCATTGTCCGCAACAGGATTCGGGTTGTCCTTTGTCTCACTTGGGGCGTCGTTGGTTTTGACGTCAATCGGAACAGGTATCTCTATCGCCAGTACCGTTGGAACCGCGGCTACCAAGGTCGCAGACAAGATCATCAAACGGAAGAAGGTAGAGGAAACTAACGCATGCGTAAAGGCCTACACACACGCTGTACAACAGTTCGCGCCAGTTCTCGAGTTCTTCTGTGAAGGTCTCTCTTCTCGTGATGATAAAGCAAGATTGAGACAGATCCTCACAGACTCTAGAGTGACGTCAAGCAATATTGGAATCATCGACGTAAAGTCTCCAGACAAGCTATGTGCTGCGTGTGCCAAAGGGCACCAGATCATGGCCACCACGTTACGTGTCCAGGAGCTCATGGCGGAGATCGAAGGAGACCCTAGTATGGAGACACCAGGCCTGGATGTCGCCAGTTGGACTGCTGGAGTTGTGTCGGACAAGTCGACGTTCGGGAAGGGGACATACAAGACGTTCAATACTGCTGCCAAGGCTATCCACATCGGCGATGTGGCACTGACAGGGGTGGGAATTATTCTAGACATGGGATCAATTATCTACAACAGTATCAAACTTCACAACAAGGAGCCGTCCGAGGTAGCTCTGCTTATACGCGATTTGGCGCTGGCTTTGGATCCGAACTTGGGGTGAACTCTTATTAATAGAAAACCCTTTGTGTTACAATTGCCCGATGACGTTGAGGTTACAAGGGACTAAGTTCGGGACACGAAGCTTTCCTGGCACGACCGAGTTACATTATTTGAACCCACTGTGTTTGTCTGCTTATTGTGTTACAGATGTCGTTGATGCTGTTACTGGTCACCCCGTGCACAGGATCAGAGTATCACCCTGGACATTGATTCAAACCTTGAAATGGACACCAGATATTATTTTTGTCTTTTAATGATGCTTTGTGTGCGATGTTTGTGTCAGATATTAAATGTAGAGCTGTTTATACTAGTTGAGTCTTGTCTTTTATTGAGAGGATATCCATTGTACAAATCACACTTTAACTATGCCCAACTCATGTCAAAGTGAACAATTAGTTAAGCTCATCAATTATCATCACGTTTGCTTTATGGGCATCGCCTCCTTTGTATGATTGACTGGTGAGTTGAACTTACTTCCACCCATGAAAGGTTGCTTGCTAACAACCAGGAAAACGCCCCGTGTCATGTGTTACCGGGGAGGACAGAAACAAACATATTGATAACAGACAGGGTGTTGGCTGGAAACACAACGATTCATCTCGTAAGTAGTCACTTTTCAGTTAGCATGTACAACATTTTTACAAATGTTTTATGTTACATCTAATATATTTAGTTACCTATTCCACTGCTATGTGAATTGTACAGTGTTGTCGTTTGATTATGTAAACAATTTTAGATATTTCTCATTCTCTGCACACACTACCGTCTTAAAGTGAGCCAAACAGGAAACTAAATGCACAATACCTTTGTTATTTGCAGTGGGGAAATATGTTTCGTCATTGTAAGAGTGTGTTGGGTATGCAAGAGTGGCGAGTGAATATATTTAAACCTTAAGTTTTTGGTTTGCATATTTCGCAATGACGGATGAACGTGGATTAGAAATATATAGGGGAAATACATTAACATAGTGTGACCCTCACTTGAGTTAATCGGGGCCTTGTCTAGAACACGTTCATCATACATGGCTCGTACAGGTCGCGCGTCGTGTTTGTTTACTTAAGGGCGTAATGGCAGTCCATACTTCAAACATTTCCTCGGTGGGACATGTTCAATAAACACACACGTGGAAGTAAGTTTGAATTTGCAACACATGAACATTCTTCTTGCATTCGCTAATTGTGCTCACCGAATAGTTGGAAACATATCTCAACAAACATGTCCTAAACCACAACAAGAGGCCTTCAGAGGTAGCTCTGTTCTACGACAGTAGACAGATAGAGTGTTCTATACTATGGTAATAAAGCAACACCCCACTCGGTCAATCTGTACTGAAACATGTCAAACTTCTGTATGCTTACCAACATACAAACACGTGGATATTCTATTCTTGGGAATAAGTCTACATGAGATAAATACTAGTACATTAAGAAGCGATACACAAAGACGTGTGTGATTTCTTTTCCAGGCACAATGGCAAGCAAGCATGAGAAGTTGCAGAGGTTGTCTGACGCGTCCGATGCCTGTTTGGAGAAACTGGACGTCGTCATAAGAAAGCTGTATGCACTAGCGGACGAACTGGACATACAACAAAAGAAAATGGACATCGCAAAAATTAGTTTCGCAAGTTCTGGTGTTGTTGGAGGAGGTTTGGCCATTGCAGGTTTCGGTTTATCTTTTGTCACATTCGGAGCGTCTCTCATCCTAACGGCTGTAGGAACCGGCATCGCTGTGGCTAGCGGTGCTGGGGGAATCGCTACAACAATTGCAGAGAAAATTGTTAAAAACAAAAGCGTCAAAGAAGCTAAGGAAGCGGTGCTGGAGTATTCCTCTGCCCTGGCGGACTTTGTGCTTATCCTTGAAGTCTTCAGTGATGCCTTGACACACGACGAGCAGGTACGGATGCTGGCCATCCTGCAGTCATCCTCCAGTGATGACACTTCCACTGAGGATCTCTTCAGTGACGTGCAGGATAACACCATGGCTGCAGGTGCATATATGAAAGCTCACAAAATCCTTAAAGCAGCCAAAATTGTTAATGCCACAGTTGGTGCCATAGAGACTGGGGCTAAAGCAGGACTGCATGCTAGTGCCAAGGCAGGCCAGGCAGCTGCTGATATTGGCGGAGAGGTGTTTACAGGTGGTAAGGAGGCGTTCCGAGCACTGGGGACTGCTGCTAAAGCCATCAAGATAGGAGGGGTAGTCTTGTCAGGAGTTGGTGTCATCATTGACGTCGGATCTATTATATACTACGGCATCAAAATACGTAAACGCAAACCTTCTGAGATTGCGCAAATGATTCGCAAAGTTGCCAGATCCTTGGAAGATAAGGATGAAGAACTGGGGGAAGAGGTTGCTTTCGAGAAAGATGAGTTGCATCTGTCCAGGAAGATGGAGACCAAATTGGGTATTGTACCTAACGACGACGTAAAGGCCGTGGAATAGAGTCACTAACTGAGCATCACATACAACGCCTCGAAACGTAATGTGCTTGTAGTAGTTTAGGCAACGGACGCTATGATTATTGTAGATTTGGAGCCTGCAACCTCAGATTTGCATCACATATTACATAGGTCTACCACATTCCTATTTCTTGCTGTTGTCATACAGGCCACGGAAACAGGTCAATGGTTGTTGTTGTCTAACGTCGACAACTCTATGGAGGCAAGACGCATACGCCAATAAAATTTACACGAACCATTCAATGAATGACGTATTCTGAGAATGCATGATGCAAATGTGTTCATTACTTGCACTGAGCATCAAACACTTGACACGCTTACACGGAATCTACACAGCTGCTTCATACCGACATAAACAGACTGAGCAAGATGTGCCATGTCAGTGATCACATCTTTAATGACAATCGTTGCAAACAGAAGCAGTCTTAACAAACTTCAGCCATTTGTCCATAGTGCAATCATAAAGCTTGAATGTTCATGCAATAACAACATAAATTTAATGTTGAAGTTCAATTGTGTAGATCTGTGAGAATCATAATAAACTGATGGTATGGTTTTCTCTCGACATTATTATCGTTAGCCGCTATTGAATATCAACGTATTGTCAATACATCGCTTGTGGATTTTGTCATTTAATGTGCAGTAATTACGTCATTAATAGCGGCGATGACGTATTGCCCCCATATCGATGTTTCACGTCCTTTTAGAAAGTGCTTACAAGCTAGGTCTAAAATAATTCCCTGATGTGCTACAAGTTTTACTGTCGCAACGATATCTGTTAATAACAATGTTAATGTCGATGAATGTTGTTTTTTTTTCGTTAGTCACAACGTGGCTGATATCTTGCAAGCGTCAACGATCTACTCACTTTCAGGAAATCTTTAATACTGACGCTCTTCTATAAATATGAAGTGCGTGTTTGCATATAGATTTATAGAAAGATTTGGACAAAGGTCAGGCATTCCGGAAGAGATATGTGTGTCCCTATCAGCGTGTGTTGTTATCCTGCTATGACGACCGGCGTCCCGGGGATATCCGCCAGGTACACGCCAGGCGGGAACTCGATACATGCATACGTAGGGGGCGGTAGATTGTGAAGCGAGTGAAACAGAAACAACGTTGTATTCAAAGGATATATATCCACCTTCAGCTGCATATACTCAAAACAAGTATATACCTGCAGGTACGTATATAAGTATATATAGTGACATTACTGATTTCTGGCAAATAGTACGTATATGCTTCCCGACAAAAAGAAAGCTGACGTCACCTGTTGTGAGATACTAATATTATGCATGTAATGCAGCCCTTGATATCAGTATGAAACATATGGCACGAAATAAAAATTCCTTGATTTTTCATTTTAGTCTACATATCAAATATTGCTGTTTTCGCCCTGTGTTGCCCGGTACTGCATGTGTGTAATGGATGACCAGATGCTAATGTAAAAAGACATTATTTCTAAGTCTTATACTTTTCTGTTCATCTGTTTGATGATTATGATAATTATTTGTGAACTTTCGCAGTACTTACTTGAACTTAACGAAACTAAACACCATTTAATATCAAATATTACCTTGTCAAAGGCTTAACCACCGATATCTTGGTATCTTGGCAGATAAACATTGCATACAATAATAACGCGATTTGTAATCTGCCCTACATACAGGATACAAGGGCCATGTCGGTCGCAGATACCAAGCTGGACGAGCTGTCAGAAGCGACTACTGACTGCGTCGCCCGCCACGACCACGTTGTGCAGCAGTTGTTGGAACTGGCAGATGAGCTGGACAAGGAAGAAAGGGAGGTTGACATCGCCAAGATTGGCTTTGCCAGCACTGGAGCTGTGGGAGGAGGACTGGCGTTACTTGGGTTCGGTCTGTCCTTTGTTACCTTTGGGGCTTCCCTCATCCTGACAGCTGTAGGGGCGGGTATATCCGCCGTCAGCGGGGTTGGAGGACTGGCGACAACGATCACAGAGAAGATCATGAAAAACCAAAAGTTGAAGGAGGCCAAGGCAGCTGTTCAGGCCTATTCAGATTCAATCAAATCGTTTTCGCATGTTTTGGAATCATTTTGTAAACTGTTGCCTGATGAGGACCAAGAGAAGATGTGGAAATCTTTGAAGGATAACATTGAAATGGAAATGACAATAAGTAGTGTTATTTCAGACGGTCGCAAACTTGTTGACACCATAGCCAGTATCAAGAAGTTGATGACAGCGGCTAACAATGTCAAGGACGTAGTGGAGGGACTGCAAGGGGAGGGAACCGCTGCAGCAAAGGTCGTAGATGTAGGGGGAAATCTAGCCAAAGAAGGCGACGAAGCTTTTCAAGCTCTGAGTACTGGGGCTAAAGCTGTGCAAATAGGAGGCGTTGTCTTGTCCGGGGTAGGCGTGGTCATTGACATTGGTTCCATCATATACTATGGGATCAAAGTTCATAACCGAAAACCTTCCGAAGTTGCTGAACTCATAAGGAAATTGGCGAGATCTATGAACTAGCATTTGTCTAATGTTGTTAAATGTCAATACAATGACTGTATACATACCAAACTGTCTAGTTTTGTTTAACTCTATCGGTCTTGTACATTGATCGGTCTGTCACATTGATGTAGGTGTTCTGAATTGATGCGACAAGACTCACGTGACACTGACAGGCTCTCATCACTAAAAGGTTATTTTCCGTTTGCAGAAAGACGTAGCGTTACAACGTAATTAAAATACAGATGTAATTCAAATAAGTCTACAAATAGACACGAATTCCTGCTGAGCATGAAGCACAAACCTGAACCAAATGCTCAAATTCCAAAGCCTAATATTAACAATTAATCAAATAATCAAATATGTTCTGTTTTAAATCATTTGGGCATATAACCATGACTGAGGTACATAAACAAAACCTTTCTGTGTTCTACCACAAGAATGTACTATGAACCCTGGTCCAACCCTGGGGCCATGTGATCCGATGACACAGGACACAGATTGTGTTATTTAACTGAGCATATTCAGGCGGCAACCTGGGGTTGATCAGTTAATCCTGGCATTGTTGATTGCTTTACTAAGCAGTGCGTGTGATCTATCCAGCACTCCAGTCACTCGAACAGACGAGATGATATTTAAAAATAATAACATCAGTTCATACGTCTTACTGATTTGAGATGTTAAGCTAAGTGTTCTTCGCGAACAGTATCATTTGTGTATTGCACGAAGGACGTTCAGATAAGCGCTCGTATTTGATACAGTCTCTTCTCATAAGACATACCTATAGTAAACATGTGTTGTAATTCAACTGCCTTGATGAAGTAACAAATCACCCAGGTCGAATATAGACAAATATCTGCGTCTACAATTTATTATACACAACCGTTTACAGCATCAAGTAACACACCTGTATAGTTTATTATGTCATTTAAATAGGTGATTGAACAAAGCAAAATGTTTTTCAATGTCCATATACGTTTGGCTTTATATTTATTGCAACACGATCAATGTATGTGCCATGTTATTACCAATACTGTTACAGCCGTCGTATAGCTGGACTGGTACTGCTACGTGCGGTGTTAAGCAACACCGAACCAACAAATATATACTATACCAAATACATGTGGTAATGTCAACCTTTCGTTTTTGAAGGGCTTTGTGTGTGTGTGTCTGTGAATCCATCTGAGCCAGGGATATTCTTCAGAATGTCTACGGTGAGAGATGTTTTATTGAACACCATTTAAATACAAATTACAATGACAACGTAAGGAAATGTTTGTTGTGAAATAACTCAAACGCAAACAACATATGTGACTTATATATCAGTGGAATCGAACTTGTAATCGCAGATAAATCACTCTCCATTTGAGCTCTTTTGCAAATGCTTGCATACAGGCACGATATATTTTATGTCCGGTTCCCAGATTCATGAAACTTGCTCAATGGATTCTGGTATTTATGTCGAATTTATTGTTTCTGAATGTAAATGCTCGTAGTTGGGGAAAAACATGTCTACAAATAACGCTGAAATATCCAACAAAGCGTTAAAAGTCCAAGTACTCGCAGTCGCCAGCATTAAAGTGAACTGTTACGTTTGGATGTAACTCTCAATTCAACAGCCCAACAGAAACGCTGAACCGACCCAATGAAAACATGTCGCTCAGTATCCCCTGTCAATGTCCACAACATTCTCCAGCGCTTGTCCGTTCACGTAACGATTAAAGTTGGCCAAAAACATGGACGCTAACTGCAAAAGAACAATATAAATAATATATGCGATGACCATGGGATTGTCATGTTCAATTTTAAACAGTTCGTTGCATCAATGCATTGTGTTAATATGATTGTTACTGCTTTTGGACACACGTACAGGTCAGGGTCACAATTGATCTTCGTCAGAGGCAACTAACTAGATCGGGGTATAAGATGCATTTCATATTTCGGTGCTCATGATGTCAATCACTGGATTTTTAGTCCAGATTCGACTATTTACAGACCGACATCATGAAGATGGAAAATTACACAACAAACGAATACCGCCAGTTTGCCTTTCACGGAATAGAGAACGAATCATCATGAAGTGCATTTCCACTGCATGAATGTCATTGTTCTACAGCACAACTTAAAGATCGCAGATTCTTTGTATTACTAAGTGTACCTTTTTGTATGAGTCCATACAATCACTTTGGTTAGATGCGTGCGGTGTGATCACCACGTCCCTCTCTCCCCACAGAGGACTATCTCGAGACAAGGGCTCCTCCGCAAAGACGTCCAGCACAGCCCCCGACAGCCATCCTCCTCTAAACACAGGTTTAGTCTCCATAGTGTTATGTGTCAATGGGAAAAGATCACCTGTGATAGTATGCTCTATTGTCATCTTTTAACATTCACGCATGTTGATAATTAGTGACTTCGAGGATGGATCCATCGTTGAGGTGTAGCGTGGATACCAGGGATTTATTCCCTTACATGGACAAAACACAATATTCCACATCTTCACTACTTACTCGTGGTGACAGGGATTTAGTCTGTACTGCAGAACGCCTACAGAATATATCGGAATGACAATGATTACCTGAGTGCTGAAAGAAGACTCTCATCGTCAATTATGTATCCGCGTCCAACGTTGATGAACAGAGGCTGTTGAAGACGATGACTCCACATCATACAATACGAACATTAGAGTGAGTGAGTTAAAACTTTACATCGCATCGGCAATATTACAGCCATTTAGCGATGAAAACAAGGCAATCAATTTTAAATATCTGTCGACAAAGGACAGTAACACTAACTAGACTAACACATATATATATATAGTAATGAAATTTAAAATACTTTAACTATAGAGGACGATACAATATAAAAACAGGCTATAGATCGCCAACAACTGAAGGTAGATCACCATACCAGGGACCATGGGGACTTACAGTACTTTTGCTACCTGCATGGACCCTAGTTGGATTTACATCATCCCTTCAGCCGCTGGCGATTGTATGAAATATTTCGCCAAACATTAAAAGAACAAAAATACTACGTTTTAAGAACCTGGTAGGTTTAAATCTAGCTTTGAAAATTTTGGGACTTACGTATCCTATCAGGAGGACAATAATTTTACGATACTTTAACCCCGTTTGAGGAACCTACATTAGAACACACACAAGATACATAAATTATAAACACCACATCAAAGTATTTAAAATACAAAAGATTTTTTTTTATTTCACAAAATCATCCTGCACGACATCATGAGCAGTTGGATGGAGACTGCAGAAGAAAGGGTGACCCACAGCTTCATTTCTCCTTACCTTCTTCCTACAGTGGGAAAGCACGTCCCCACTCAGAAGACCCCGAGTTTCAGGTGTAGACGGTAGAATGTTGACCAGGAAATCACAGGAGGACAGTAGTTCAAGCAGATCACATGGTTGTCTTTATATGAAATATGCACTTTACAGGCGACAGGAAATCGAGCAGTTCACATTGTTGTCTGTATATAACATGTACAATATAGGAGATCATGTAGATCACAGGTTTTTCTGGATGAGTTCCAGTCAGATATGTTACAGTAACTCGGGTAGTTAATATATGGTTGTTTGTGCTAAAAAACGTACACATATTTTCTATACTTTCTACAGGAAAGAACTGTCGTTGTCAATGAAAATCCTAACTGTACAAAGAGAGGTCAGAGTGTCATTTAGCGCACTGTACATTTAAAGCATCAACATCTTACCGCAGTGGGAAGACTCCACCTCACACAGTGTTACGCAGACATACAGAAGAACATCTTTATGTTATACCTGTACTCATCTACAAATGTCTTCCTGTCTTCTTCCTTGACTTCAGATCGTTTCAAACCCCACACAGTCATATCCCAGTATTTACATGCACGGGCAACTGAAAACCCAAACACAACGTATACAAACTGCAGTTTATTTCAAATAGTCATTGACTATTAAGATAACATTTGAATATATAATGTCGTTATGTACAAATGTATTTGATCGACATCCTCCAGGTAAACAGTGACAAAGAATGACACCATTGTCGCTAGCCTTGTCACTACCAGAGGGACGGAGTATGCTCACCTTTTCGCGAACATCCGGTATCATCAGTATATGATTGTGATTCATAAACACATGCTCGTGATATAGTTAATGCAATCGAATCAGCTTTTATCGTGGATTTCTTATTGAAATGGAAATGGTTTTATCGCCTTGGCTATATCTGCTGCAAAAGCGAAGTGAAGAGATCGTTTTGCATACTGAGGTATTTCATTGAGACAATTCTTTAATCAGTGCTTTTTATTTTCAAACATTGTCACCTTCGCTGCCAATAGCTCCCAGTCCCAGTATCCCCACCGTACACGAGCTGAGGTGCTTCAATCCAGAATCGGGGGTTGTTCTGAAAGATGTTTTCAACAACCTCTACATGTTGGTTCAGAGATATTAGTAAACTCCGGTGAAAAGAAAGTATACGTCTGAAAAATGTTTTTGACAAACTAATTACAACATTTTCAAAACGTTACAAGGTTCAATATCGTCACTAAAACATTGCCAAGTTGAGGTCCAGAGTATAACGTTTATGTAACTGTACCTGTATACATTCTCATCGAATAACCATTTCTGTTTGTTAATAGTTTAGCCAGCATCGATCATGCCGGTAGAGAAGACAGTTCTGTTCGTATAGACTATATATTTCCGAGTTTTGACATCTTCGACTCATGGCGTCATATCGTGAAATGTCTATATCCTGATTTATGGATGCACAAGGGAAGGTAAGTCAAGTGATGTCAGGAGTCCTGGGTAAGGCCAGATTAAGACAATGGTGGTTTGAGTTATTTTCTGATCCATGTTAGTCACATGTACTTTCCGGAAATAAGGTGATATTCAAAATTGGGATTCTATCTAAAGGTATATCAGTGGTTGATCTACGTTATCAAGCTCTAACATAAGACATTTATAAGTGATGTCTAAGATGTACACATGCCTGTCCCACGTGCGTTGGTTTTGCTGCCTCTGAAAGTGTCGGAAGTTCATGTTGGCAGAGATGATTTGACCAATGACATACTGGGAGACCGGAGTTTGGAACGTCGTGGCGTTACGGGTCACCGTAATGCGGGGTGGCAGCTGAATCAGGATGTTAATGGCAGCATAAATAGGCTTTCACACCAGCAACTCAGGCCTGACAAAAACGACTCGACTTTTAAGTATTTCAGAATGATTACTTACGTCCCGTTTGATCTTCAGCACTGCATCAACTCCTGGAATAAATGAGATCTATGTGGAAGTTTACATGTAGTATTTAGGTTTATTCAAAGAACACAAGCAGCTGCCGTGCATCGGAGACTACACTAAACATTAATTGCATAACACAACTGAAAAGGGAAGGCGTCTCAATTCGCTATCTGTGCTACTGAAGAGTGCAGAACGTCGTCCAACATGTTAATTACAATTTCATGGGGATATGATGGTGGTGTTGGTGTCTGTCGAGATTCCGTCATCTAGTCTCACCTGCATCCGGCGTTTGGATCCACCTCAGATTGGGCAGCAGGTGTAAGTTCTGACACACGTGTACTGAGGATCCAAAGTAGACTTCTACATCTTTCCAGTAGGTTCTGTCCGGGGTCTGGAGATACTCTGAGCTCCCTGTCACAGAAACATATCGTTATACTGTTGATATGAGCAGTACACACTGCTACTCTAGTAGGAGTGCATTAGTAAATCATCTGCGCAGATTGCTCCACTGCTGATATGCAAGGTTCATTACTTAGCAGTGTCTCGTTGATATCAATAATTTGTTTAAAAATATCTTGGTAAACAAGCATATTGCTACACTGTGGATGTAGGTGATTCATTCAGACTCTATGTTCGACCTATATGTGTATCTATGGTCCCATGGGAACCCAAACACAACACTATACAGTGGTTACAAACATGTACACACTGCGATACAGTATCAGTAATTCAACAATCCTTTACAGTTTACTACACAGTTGGTAGCAGTGGTCCAATGAAAAAACATCCCCACTTTACTTTACAACTGATATCAGTGGTTCGATAAAAAATATGTACACAATACTACATGACTCAGAGTGGTTCAATAAAAACAGTACACACTACTTCATAGTTTATACTAGTTACGTTCTGACGTACCGACCCACATGGGTACAATGTGTGAAGCCCATGTCTGGTGTCCCCCGCCGTGATGTTGCTGGAATATTGCTAAAATCGGCGTAAAACCAAACTCAGTCAGTCTGACTTACCGATCCACGATGTTTATAGAATGTGAAGTATTACAAGTTACGCCTGACACACACTTTTGTTATGTATACATCGTTTGTTTATACCTCGGAATCATCACTTACATGCGCTGAAACTAAACGACGGGCAAAGAGTCTCAGGTGACCAAACATATACTGTAAGCCATTAAAAACGCAATTTGACATTCATACTTTCTTTACTCACGCCAATTTCAACATATATAAACCTAACTGGCAGATATGTTTTAAGTGAACATCTGTGAATAATTTCATCTGAAAATGTCCAGTCAACAACAACATCAGTGACGCAACAACGACATCAAACAAAGGAGGGGTCACTTGCAGTTAATATCGTGTGTGTCCACCGTGCGCTGCAAGACATGCTTGCAGTCTTTGGGGCATTGAAAGACACACATTTCTCAGGAACAGCTGTTGGATGGTCTGCAGCCTCTGATGGTCTGTGGTCTGATCATGACACCACCCCCTCCAAAACGATCATGTTCAAGGACACAGTTTGGCGCAAGTCTTTCTCCTTTACGTCGATAAATCTGTGGACGTCCATCTGCAAAGGATAAGTTTAACCTGGATTCATCTGACAAAATGACATCTGGCCATGGCCTGTTGCCAAAATTGGCCCCATTTGCTGCCCATCGCTGTCTGGCAAGTCTGTGGCGATGCAATAAGGTTGGACCACGGTACGGGTGACGACACCGGATGTTGAAGGCAGCAAGGCGTCCTTGCACCTTTTGGGCGCTGACATGACGTTGACTTGTCCCAATTGTCCTCCTTGCCTCATCATCAGCTGTTTGGAACCGATTTCGAAAGTGAGAAACTCGGATATTGCGGTTTTGTCGAGCTGTTATCACAGGTGGTGCACCAGGTCGCGGACGATCAGCAACACTTCCGGTAGCCCGAAAACGTTGTCTGAGTCGACTTACAGTGCATGGATGCACATTAAAGTGCCTGGCAATCATCACATCTGAAGCACCTTGGTTGACCATACCGGAAACCTGATTCCTTTCGTCTTGTGTCAAGTGTGGTTGAGTTCCACAATTCCTTGTGCTTTTACAGGGCCTGGGTGCAGGTAATGCATGTGCACAACGTGTTTCATGAATGTGGTTGTGTTTACGAGAAATGTCAAAGGTTCAGTTTTAAGTATCAAAGTTCATGTGAGAGGAATGCTCCGGGACTCGAACTCGAAATGGGCTAGAATGACAGTCTTTTATCCCTACATCCTCTGTATCGCAGGCAAAAAGCTTCAATAGAACTTTTGTGAGTTTCAGGACAACAAATACCAATTGCGTTTTTAATGGCTTACAGTATGGCTTATATTTGGAATTACACTTTCTCAATAAGGGACCGATTCTACTACTTTCGTTGGGTTGAGTCCCATGCGGGATTCGTACACACACTCCCGGCCAGCGAACAAAGTCAGCGTGACGTGATCATCAAATGTAATGGGACTTCAAACACTGATTGAGACTCAAATACAACTCGAAACAAATCCATATACACTTACACCTGTGTTTTAGTAGAACCCGCCAGAGATCAAGTCGTGGTTTCTGCTGCTGTAGGAAGGTGTTGATGTGGTCGTTTGGGAAGGCAGTAAGTACTACCGGTCTTCTCTCATTCTTGGTCATGACGCTGAATAAACGAGATGTGCTTGGGCACATGAAATATAATTTCTATTGTGCCACAGATTAAATCCTTTTGTAATGTGAGCAATCGACTCAGATGAGATTTATTATAATATGCAACAAAATTTGTCACCAGAAAATGGCTTCATACATAATATCTATGTGGGGAAACGAACCCGGGTCTTCGGCGTGACCAGCGAACACTTTAACCACTAGGCTACCCAACTGCCCCCTTATATATACATCTTGGGTCGTATCCAAGAGGTTCAGTCGTCTTAGGAACTGGACTAGTGCTATGCAAAGTTGCTGTCCAGGGCAAGCCAGAAACCCTTGGTAGTGTGTTCGAATCCTGTTTGCCCCAATTGTGTTTGTAGGCTTGGCAAATTTCATCGTGTGTTCAATAGTTTAAGTATTGTGGTAAAGATCTGAGACCTGAATCACTCTAGAGTTTACTCTGACATCAAGGTGTCTCGCCGTGACCGGAATACTATTCAAACACAATCACGCTACCTCGAAGCTGGGATTGCTACTCAAGAAGCCATGCATTCATGAAGCAATGAATACAGGCCTGACGGTGATTTTAGCGTCTTTCAGACAGTGCCATGAAATCTGAGGGTCAAGAGCTATGTAGATATATTCACAGATACTTTATCTAAGTCCAAAGACGGAACATAAACTACATCTATAATATTCTGCGCAGCTTGTAGAAATATGGCAACTTTTTACCTACCCTTGCAGCGCTATCTTATCAGATGGTTTTGACAACGGCCGAGTCAAGTTTTTGTGGTAGCCTAGTGGCTAAGGCGTTCAACTCGTCACGCCGAAGGCACGGGTTCGATTCCCCAAATGGGTACAATGAGTGAAGCCCATTTCTGGTGTCCTCACTCC